TATATATATATATATATATATATATATATATATAATATAAGGTAAATATACAGTGTTCAATAGTTGACTTGAAGAACATGAATTGAAATATATATATATGCCTATGCACGTTGTTCCATAATTAATATAGTGGTGAAGGCTATGACAATAAAAACAAAAGTTAAGTTGACGTATTTTTGGAACATAATATATTTCACACGCATATTTCGTCCCCTCCTGTGGACTTCTTCCTTGACAGCGAGAGGTCGCAGGTTCGAGTTCCCGTCAGATGCATTTTATTACACAATTCCTTTATTCATTTATTTACAGGACAACAATCGTTGAGAGCTATGCTACACGATGTGTTATTATTTCATTTATTTGAACACTGTATTTACCTTTCTTTGATGATTTATGTATATTATTTTTTACAGTGTTAACGGCTATCTTGATTAATATTACATCATATGCAATTATTTGTTTCTAGCCGTACTTATTGTGTAATGGAGTGTATCTGGTGGTATTTGAATCTGTTTAACCATGAAGCCTCCGTGGTCTAATGGTTATGACGCTCCTTTTACAGCGAGAGGTCGCAGGTTCGAGTCCCGTCAGTGGCATTTTATTACACAATTTCTTTATTCATTTATTTACAGGACTACATTCGTTGAGAGCTATGCTACACGATGTGTTATTATGTCCTTTATTTGAACACTGTATTTACATTTCTTTGATGATTTATGTATAATATATATATATATATATATATATATATATATATAGGCCTATAGGTACAAAGGTCAACATGGACATTTCCGATTATTTTTTATCTGAGCTAATTTAAATTTAAATAATAGGTATATATTTTGAGCAATTGACACAAAAACCAACTCACTGCAACCAATGTTTACCAATATATAAGAACCCTATTTCCAACATCGGCATTTCCGGTCATTTTTGACTAAATGTTCACAACATGATTAGAGCAAATAGAAACATGAACGTTAAAAAAGGCTTGTACCAAAATTAACTCTCTACCGCGATGGGCTGAGGAGATACAAGGGTTTGACGTTTGGCGATGGCGTCACGCTGAGGCACTGAGGGGGTGCGGAGCGCCTGGGCCCCGAGGTATTGTAGGAGCCCAGATATTGTAGTTTAAAAAAATTGACATCATCGATCTTTAACAAAGAGCTCGCCTTCAACTTAATATGTTTTTCTGATCTCTTTTATAATTAGGCCTATAGTATTATCATGTAATTTCAAATTTATTTTGTTATGGTATCTCATGTATTCTTTAGATAATAAATCTGATAATTGTCAGCAAAAAATATAATATTGTTTCCCTTGTTTTTCGATCAGATCAGATCAAACTAGCTGCATCAATATCATCAAGAACACACTGCCAGCTGCCACGCGGGCGGCTCATGTCAGTGGGATATGTTTGATCGTGGACGGCAGAAATATACATTCTCATGAAAAAATTGTTAGCATGTATGAGGCCCCCTCACCCCACAGTCAGCTCCAGGGCCCCACAAACTCCGTGACGCCACTGACGTTTGGCCCTGACATTTTGACCTTTTCCCAGATTTTT